AGGCATTAAGGATTGAGATTGAAGATTGAAAGATTGACCAATCAAAACAATAGGAGCTAAAATTCCTTTGCCCTCATTGGTCAAATTTCAATCTTCAATCTTCGATCTCAATCTTCAATGCATAGTCTGATTCCGGCCTAAGACCATTTCGAATCTTGAGCACCGTCTATGAATTCCGCCCTTGGAGGTGAAGCAAATGAAGCGTGCTCTTAATTGCTCCTTATGGCTCCTGCACACAGAACGCGGCAATGGCTGCGTTCAACAGAAAAAACTAATCAGTTAGCGCTTAGTGATTCTTTAATATGATTGGTTCTTGCCTTTAGTTCTTCACTGGATCTAAGTGTAGGAACCAATTATATCGAAGAATCACTAAGCGCTAACTGATTAGTTTTCTCTGTTAAACGCAGCCAATGCTTGTCGCACGGCGGAAGTTAGCCAATCAACGTCTCGCTTGCTCGGAAGTAATACGAGATATAAGCTGGAAACACAATACACACAGGCAATAGGCACAGGCAACAGGGAATAACGAGCCGTCCAATCAGAACTCTGGAGTATAAGTTCGATATTATATCTCAGAGCTGTGATTGGACGGCTCGTTATTCCCTGTTGCCTGTGCCTATTGCCTGTGTCTATTGTGTTTAAGACTATACTTGTGTCGACTTGTGTCGACTGTGCTTGCTTTCCAGCAAGGACATAGGCCGATATTCATAGTCAGTTCTTATATTCAAGATTGTCTTAAGTTCAGCCCTGAGGTGTCACGAACCAATCAAAAGGCCACATTAACGTCTTAAGACATTACTTAAGACGGTCTTGAAATAAGAACCGACTATGAATACTGGCCATAGTCAGACCACAGTATAAAGCCGGAATCAGACTACGCATTAAAGATTGAGGTTGAAGATTGAAGATTGAAATTTGACCAATAAGGACAAAAGTCCAATGTACAGAAGCCATCAATTTAACTTTTGCCGCACGGCGGAAGTAATATTACATCATTTCTAGAAGTTTTGCAAGGTGAGATCGACTCAAGAACATTCCGATCGGAATCCATTCCGATTTTGTTTCATGATAGGTACATACCCTGCACACAGAACGCGGCAGCGCTTACCGCGCGGCGGAAGTTGTTACACTAACCAATAATTCTATGTTCTTGAGTCGGTCTCACCTTGCAAAATCGGAATAGATTCCGATCGGAATCCATTCCGATTTTGTTCCATGATAGGTACCCAGTAAAGTTATTCTATAACTTTTATGCGGGGTCTACAATAGAAGTTGTAGCGGTCGTAGGGTCTTAAGTCGTAGAAAATTGACCAATCACAGTTGATTATTCTTCTCATATTCGACTACGATTGGTCAATTTTCTATGACTTAAGACCCTACGACTGCTATAACTTCTATTATAGACCCCGCATTAATGATAGTTCGGCATCGTTATATTGTCATTGCGCAGTTTTTTCACCATGTAAAATACCTGCGCAATGATATCCCTAGCTAGTAAAATTGTAGATAAAAAGTTACAGAATAGACCTACAGCAGTCCTTGCATCCGCCTAAGCACAAAGATGACCGTAACTGAATCGTAGATCGTAAGTCATAGTTGTAGATTGATCAAGCTGTCGTTATGAGTACATAACGAATTACAGAATTCTACTGCAGGAGCAGGGTTGGGTTATCCGAGGATTTTCTAGAGTTTTTTACATTATACTGTATTATACCGTATTATACGATATTATACGTAAAAAACCGTATAAAACGTATAAAACTCTAATTTATGGTCTACGACACTCTACGAGTGTCCAGAACGATTCCATGTTTCGATTTTTCTGAAATATCGATTTTTGCCATTGCTGCGAAAATGATGCGGGACCCCCCAAACACTGGACGCTTATGGCACAGTATATACAGTA